AAATCTAAAAAACAAAAATTAAATTAATTAAGGAAGCAGTTAATCTCATTTACGTTCCTTATCTTCTTTATTTATGACTTTTTCAGTTCATGACCTCTTTGTTGAGAGTGAATTCCACATAAGGGAGAGAGGGACATTGTGTGCTTATAATAGTTGAGTTACTCCATGTATTGTCAAATGATTTTATGGTGAAAGCTCAACCTTCTCTATGGTATCAGAGAGCAAGTTGTTCTGTGTGTGAAACCCAACGGCCACACGTGCTCCACGCCACCCAACTTGTGTTGTTCACATGTTAGACTTTAAAATTCATCACACATGAGGGAGCACGTTGAGAGTGAATCTCACATCAGAAAGAAGGACGTTTTATGTACTTATAATTATGTAGTTGAATTACTCCAAATATTATCAATTGGTTACATGGTGAAAACCCAACTTTGTTTTCTCTTCTTATTATGATTTATTCTTCTTTCCAAGAATAAGACACACAATGATCTGGTTGGATGATAAGTTCAGAACACAATTAGAGTTGGCAACACAATCAGTTTAACCATTCAACTTTGTTCCGACTTCAGTGGACATATTGGGATCAAGTTATCATGCTTTTAGTTTAAATTGTTTGACTTTATGAATCACCAATCAAACTTTACAATGTGTTTGGTGGGTCACTGCCCTTACATGGTGGTATGGTTACAGAGTGATTAGGTTGTAATTAAAGTAGTTATTGACAATGAAACAAACATGGCTGATGTATTAGCCAATTCCAAAAGGTAATTAACAAAATTAATTAACTAATTACAAAGTAAAGCTAAAAGCCTAAATATCCGAAATGGGGCTGAGAAAGTAGAAAAAATATATAAAGCAAGAAAAGCTTAAGGATCCATCCAGAATAATCATACCATGCTTTCTGCTGCTTTTGCATGCTTCAAAATTTATCATGCTACATTTTACTCAAACTTAGTCAACCCTTTCAGATGGGATGCTGTCCGTTGATGATGCTTGTTTGATCTCACCCAATTTAGTCAGTCCCTTCATGCCCATGGGAGCAATATGTCACACACTTCACATTGAGTTTATGTGCTTAACAACTTACATGAAACGTTCACATAATCTTCTTTTTTTATCATTAGGGTGGATCTTTCTTCTGGTTTAGCATGTTACATGATGAAAGGGTTAATCTGATTTAATCATTGAGGTACATGTTACACAAACTCATGATATCTAAGATTTCTTATAGACGATGATTGATGTCTAGCGAATAATCATTTTACATCGAGAGAGGTCATATGGGGTCGTGCTATACACGTCTTTTAAATGACTTAAAAGTCATTTGTTAAATTGATAGGAATTTTCACAATTAGTTGTTAAATACCTCAATGACTTACTTTAAGATTTTTCTGGATCATATGAACTCGTGATAGGTAAGTTTTTCTTCCGAAGATGAGCAATGATTGACGAGACTTTCATTTTAATTGCGGGCCATAAGTCAATATTTTTTGGGGCCACCGTGGCAAGGACTTTTGGGTTTTGGGACACCTTACACTATTTGGAATCCCAAATAAACCTCACTCTGTGCCCACTGGCAAAGCTTTCACTGGGCTCGGGACTTCACTTAATCCCTATAAAACATGGGCCATATTACAATCACTTTCAACCTCAATTGAACATGTTGTTCTGTTGACTGACACCAGGTTCAAATAAACGCGAGATTTTTCATTGCGTTCGGATACTTGGCGGAGCATCTTATGTTATTATATAATCAGAGAATTTTTTTTTAAGTGTTCCTATAATTGTATAATAATAATGATGTTTCATCCCGTATTCCAGACACACTGAAAAATCTCTTCAAATAAAGCACCAGTCAACAGCCAAAAAGCTATATATATATATTTACGAAACATAAAATAAAATAAAAAATAAAAAAAACTAATGAAAAGGGTTTGAAAATTTTGAGTTTTAACGATAAGGACAAAATAAAGAATAAAGTGAATAGTACCATGGTTGACTTTTTAATGTAAAAATATGATTTTTCGTTAAAGTAAACAATACCGAGAGTTTTTCATTAAAATTCCCTAAAAAAAAAATTGAAAAGAAAGAAGGGGACTAAGAGATTGGAGAAATTTCTTCAAACCTTCCATCCTAATCTCATCTTAATCCTGTCCAAATCAAATGTCTGGTATGTACCTCCTAATTGAAAAACATGTTAGCCGAAATCCTAACCGCCCACTGGCTAATCCGACATTAAACAAATCAACTTTAACTACCTAATTACACTTGTTTAATTTTGATTAAAAAGAAAAAGTTGACTTGTTTAATCAATAGATGAAGCATGTGATTAAAGTAATCAAAACCATTTGACCTTTAACACCGAAAGACCAAACCTTAGAGCATTTTAAAGGATTTAACAAAAAAGATTTCTTTAAAGTTGTCTTTGTTTAACCCATTTGACACTTTTACGTAATTTTAAAAATTCCACTCTAACCACTAAAGCTTTGGGTTACTATCACTATCCATTAGAATTGTGACTTGGGAGAGTGAACTTTTGCTTCCTTATCTTCGAGGTTCATTATCTCCTTCTTGTCCTCTTAACAAGACAAAACATAAACAAAACGATAAATAAAAATAAAAAATAAAAAAAATAAAAAATAAAAGGGGGAGGCCTTCGCATTTCTGCGCAAAGCCATTGTGCACCCCTTATCGTTCTCCCACTTTTTCAACCAACTTTCTAGATTTTATTTTAAAATATTAATATCTTAACTTTATTTATTTTATGAGGTCCAAATTTTATTTTCAAACACTTATATTAATAATATTTTAAATAAAATAGGTTGCGAGATCTAATTTGCTAACTTAAAAAAGTAACAACTGACCTTATAAACTTGCAAGATCAATTATTAATTCTTTAATTTGCTAACTAAGTTGTTATCTTCATTAAAAATTTATTTTTACTACGCAACATAACAAAACTAACATCGTCAAATGTTGCTTTCTTTAGATATACTCTTATCTTTTAACTTTCTATCCCCCAAGAGGATCCTTGTCTGATCCTTTTTGTGAGGATCCACGCAGGATCCTCTTTGTGAGGATCCCGGGGATCTTCTAATCACATCCGTTCATCGTACATAGTGAGAAAAAAATCATTGTAATTTTTTTAATTTAAAATTGAATATAAATAGTACCTGATAAAAACTGATCGCACAATATACAATAAACAGATATGATTAGAGGATTCTTAGAATCCTCACAAAGAAGATCTGGCGAGGATTCTCTCTCTTTTATCCCTACGTTAAGATTGTACTAAAATCATATTTTTTTACTTTTGTGTTGTTTAATTTTTTGAAATATTAAAAAAAATTAAAATGTCCACTAATTGGATTTTGTGTCGAGAAATTTTTAATTGTGACAAGAACACAGATGATACACTATGTGTTTTTATGTAAGTGATGGAAAATTTTAATTTTTAAGTTATTAACCTTTTAACACATATATCTTACCATTTATGTGGAGACACGTGATGTACTATCTTGTGTGATGGTTACATTAAAAAATCTTTATTTGGTGTCATCCTTTGAGAGCTCTGCTTACGTACAAGTTGGTCGATGGTATACGCGTGTCATGCGCTAGGACACGTGTTGGTCATCCACGGGAGATTGTGTAGATATTCTGCAGGCTTTCAACTTTGTGCTTTTTGGGGTGGGACCCATTGAAAAGTTTCTGCAGCTGATGTGGCGACAAACCTTGTTCTAATCTGAGATTAAATATTAAGTTAGCAAGATAAATGAAATAGAAAATATATTGAGTTAGGTTAGAGTCTTCATATACAAATAATTAAAGAGATTAAATTACATAATTGCTTAGAGTATTCATATTTAGTTTACTTTTCACACACTCCTTATAATTTATATCATTTGATCTTCTTTAATTTGTTCAATTCGATGACCAAAATTTAAGAGGGTGTTTGTAGTCCTGTGTTTTTTTTAATTTTTATGGAAAGGTACAATTTTAGTAAGATGCCAATAAAATACATACAAGAGGATATGACATAAAAATGAAGTGAATCTCTGAAGAATAAAAAACCTTGTCAGGACTTTCAAACTGGAAACATGAAAAAAGAGGCCATCATTGTAGAATAAAATAGAACATTGTAATCACTGAATAGAACTATTCTCAATCAAGATGTTTGCTACATGTCCGATGGTTCTTCAAACTAAGCCACCTCATGTTACTCTCCAGTTCCTGCTCTTTCAAGCCCATGTGATGCTTGATTTGCTTCTTGTCTAACATGACTTAAGCTTGAATCGAGAAAAAGCTTGAAGAAATAAGCGACTATCATTAATTATTAGCCCCAAATAGAGGTGTCATCGCCTTCTTGTTGGATAGCAGCTATTGCAAGGATAGAATCTCCTTCAAATTCTACTTCAGCAACTCGCAACTCCGTTAAACAATTTCCTTACAAGAAAATAAGAAAAGTTGACCCAACCACTATGAAGGATTCCTCGAAGAGTTAAGGATTAGTAATCATTTTCAGAAATTAAATGGATTCGGTCTTATACATACTCAAGGAAGGTAATTAAAAAAAACTATTTTTGCTCCGCTTGGCCCTGTCCCTCTCTAGGGGTATATTCTAGTGATAGGTGTTATAGGAATTGGACAATCCTATTTGGTTTGTAAAAACTTGTGAACAATAAAAAATTATATTATGCTTCGATACATTGCATATACTAGATAAATGAAATGTTAATTACGCGACTAAAGTTCTGAAAATGAACTCAACGACTAAAAATATGAATGTCATCATACATCGGTGCATACTAAAAAATTCGTGACAATACGAGGAAGAAAAAAGATAGATATCTCTACCGGTAGCACCGAATTTTCCATGCACCCAAAGGAAAGTTGACAAGGAAAATCTGGAGGCCACAAGAACTTGTGGCTGAGAATCAAACGCCACGTTGTGACGTGGCACCCACTTCCAGCTAGTTTAAACGGATCAAAATCGTAGACGACGTTTTACCACGCCCAATGCCACCACGACTCTCACCCAAAAGAAACGAAAAGGAAAACACCTCCAACACTCGCGCCTCTTTTCCCACTGTTTGGCTGCCGAGAAAATGCTGGAAACTAAGGACCCCGCGATCAAGCTCTTCGGGAAGAAGATTGCCCTCCCCGCCGACATCGACGACTTGGGTTTTGCTCGGCCTGTAGAGAAAGAAGTGGAGGTAGAGTCAGAGGAGGAGGACGAAGAAGAAGAGGATGCAGAGACAGAGCAGGTAACAGTTTGTAACTCAGAGAGAAAGTTCTTGTCTAAATTTTCGTTTGGATTCGACCCTTTTGTTAAAATGCTGAGAGCTTTGAAGGGTCGAGCTTGTTTTCTTGATTCGTTTTCATTTTTCTATTTTTGTTTGATTTTTTGATCCTGTTTAATTAAGTTCATAAATTTTAGCAGATGAAAGAACCAGGGAAAGAAAGTGGAAATTCTGAGCTTTTTTTTTCCAGTTGAAAGTTGAAATCGAAAATTTGTTGCCTTTTGATTGTTTGATTCAATTTTGTTTATCAATGAAACGATTTTCAATCAATGGATTTCACTCCAGCTTTTGGAAAAGTATTAAATTTGATCAGTTTTATTACTTCTTTGTTTAATAATTTTGGTTAATTAAGTCCAATTTACATATAGCTAATTAGATTGTTTATAAGTGTGACTGCAGATAAAAAACTGTGAAACTGTTTATGCTTCTTGATTTTCTCCTAATTAAGCAGCCAGATTTTCAGCTGTGAGATTTATTTATTCTTCATATGAAAGAAATCTGGAAGGTTTTCTGTTGATTTTCTGAGCTGTTGTTTTCATTAATCTGGAAATATTACCCGATTCTAAATCGTATTTGTAAAATTTTCAGGATTCGCCATCACGAAAATCGACAGAGAGCATCGAACAAGATGATGGTTCTCCTCCTAAAACTGAAGACCCTGCAAATCTGGAAATATTACCAGATTCTAATGTGAACCCGAAGACACCATCAACAGATGAAGAAAGTGCGCAATCGAAAACTGCTCAGACAGAGAAAGAACCGAGTACTGAAAACTCGGAAGAGAAAACCCTGAAGAAGCCTGACAAGATACTTCCATGCCCCCGCTGCAATAGCATGGACACTAAATTTTGTTACTACAACAATTACAATGTCAATCAACCGCGGCATTTCTGCAAAGCCTGTCAAAGATACTGGACTGCAGGCGGTACCATGAGGAATGTGCCTGTGGGAGCTGGACGTCGCAAAAACAAGAACTCTGCCTCACATTATCGCCACTTCACCATTACCGAGGCTCTTCAAGCAGCTCGGATTGATGCTCCAAATGGAGCTCACCACCCTCCATTAAAAAGCAATGGTAGAGTCCTAAGCTTCGGAGTGGATGCACCTATTTGTGATCCTATGGCTTCTGTTCTAAATCTTGCAGATAAAAATGTTTCAAGTAGTACTCGAAATGGTTTACATAAAGGCGAAGAACAGGTATTTCAAGCTCCTTGCAAATCTAGGGAAAATGGTGATGATAGCTCCAGTGCATCTTCTGTAAATGTTTCAAAAGCACACTTGCAGAATGTCAATGGCTTCTCTTCGCAAATTCCTTGTCTTCCCGGTGTTCTGTGGCCTTATCCATGGAATGCAGCAGTTCCCCCACCGGCTTTTTGTCCTCCAGGATTTCCTCTATCATTTTGCCCTGCACCTTATTGGAACTGTGGCGTGCCTGGCACTTGGAACGTTCCTTGGTTTGGTCCACAACCCCCTTCTCCAAACCAAAAGTCTCCCCACTCTAGTTCAAATTCTCCAACATTGGGGAAGCATTCGAGGGATGAGGACGTTGTAAGACCAGAGAATATGGATAAACAAGAGCCATCAAGACAGAAAAATGGATGTGTTTTGGTTCCGAAAACATTACGGATTGATGATCCAAGTGAAGCTGCAAAGAGTTCAATATGGGCAACGCTCGGAATCAAGAACGATTCCATCAGTGGCAAAGGACTGTTCAAGGCCTTCCAACCAAAGAGTGATCAAAAGAAAATTGTCCCTGAAACCTCCCCCGCAATGCGAGCTAATCCAGCTGCATTGTCTAGATCCCTCAACTTTCATGAGAGCTCATGAAGTAGCTAGCTAGCCAAGTAGTCATGAGTCTTGGCAGATAACCCCATCCAGCTAGGCCATTTTAGTTGAGCTGGTCGAATCGGAGATGCAGAATTGGAGGGGCAGTCTCTACTCTCTAGGGTTCCTCAGTATGATAGGGGAACTAATGTAGGATAAAGCGCTTGTGGGAGATTGGTTCCCTCTAGGATAAAGCTCTAGTGGCAACTACTTTCGCCTTTTTGCGCTATGCACTGGTCCCTTCTGATGTACTTAGTTTTTCTGAGGTTGTGTTCATGTACGTATCCATAATCTCTATATATGTGAAATACTATGATAGAATTGGAGATCCAAAGATCTTTCTATTCCCTTTTCTTGGGGGCCAAGGAAAAGAGCGGATCTACAACTGAGGCGCTACTATGATAATATTTTAAGCTAATAAAAAAGTGTTGCGTTTGACTCTTGTTAGTAATGCTAGTTGATTAATTTGAGATACCGTCATAGTGACATTTCCGTTATAATTAAGCTGTCTATCCATTCATGCCTAGGTGGCTATTCTCGTGGGGCTAAAATGGGGATGGCGACAAACCAACAAAATTGTTCTTTTGAGTCCCTTTTTCTTTGTAAGATAAGCTTGAATTAAATTCCTGGCAAGGGCCAAATTGCTTTCCTTTTCACCACCAAAGGATCTGAACAACTTGCACAAAAGTTTGGTTGCAGACCGTCCGATATTATCTTGCTGTCTTTTTCCTCCTTTTTCTCTTTGAGAGATTTTTCAGTGTGTCTGGAACACAAAATAATACACCATGTTATTATACAATTGAATGAACAGTTGGAGGAACAGGTGGTGTACTGTCCTATGTTCTGAACATACTGAAAAATTTCTCGTACTCTTCTCGTTCAGAAAACAATTATGTTCATTCCCTAAGAAATAATAAATCAACACAATTATTGAAGCCAAAAATTGCCTACCTACATAAGAAGGAAATTTTGAAACAATGGTATGGTATGGTATTCTACCAGAGTCTTGGATCATAGCTTCATTTCTCAATTATGCGTTCATGGTCTTTTTTAGCAAAAATTGTGTCGTATAAATTGATGCTAAAGAAATCACATTTTTTAAACACATAACGGAATAATTTGATGCTATGATCAAAGACTCTGATAACCTTAATACATGTGTTCAACCCTCGATTTGATTTTATAAATATATATGTTTGATTCTTTTTTCATTGATTTCTATAAATATATATATGTTCGACCCTTTATTCAACTCTAAACGACTACTCGTTAAAACAACTCATCTCAGACACATGCCTCTCACTAGCTAGTGACAGAAACTTGGGATATTTCCCCTTTGATAAGAAACTATGGATGTTAGGATTACTTGGTGAAATACATATTACCTAATTTCTTTGCAAAGCAAATCGTTAGATGCATCAACATCAGAGATAGGTGTGTCTCTCAAAACAATTACCAATTAAAAAAAACACAGATATTTGGGTTCAACAAGCAAATGCAGGCCACATTTTTTGGTAAAGATGAGTTGTTATATGGGACCCCAATTCCACACATAATGCCATGAATATTTTGGCATTCTCTCTCTCTTGATTTGAGGAGCAATTTATACAGAACGAGTTTGATGTTACATAGCGTTTTGATTTGATTATGCAATGCTATGTGGAGAGGAATTTATGCATAACATTGTGTTATTGAATCAAACGCAATAATAACGATAAATCTGTTCTATATAAGTCATTATTTTGTCTCGCTTTTGCTTTTCTATTTATTTCTTCCTTTTTTTGCTCTTTTCCTTCATCTTACACGAAAGCAATTGTCCCTCTATTTTCATCCATATGCCTAATTTTAATGCTTGTCTGGGAGACAAAAGAAGATACAATGACAGAAGGTTTTTGAATATTTTCTGGATCACAACTCTTTAGCCATATGGTTTTTGATTTTTAATGTCGACTAAATATTGAACACAACCTTACATCTACGGCACATGGATATGGACAAAAGAACACAACACGACACGACACGACAAGACATTAGGATACAAGAGGATACGAGAGGATACCACCATGATCATGCATTGCACTCTTACATGTTTAACTTTATTGAGGATACAAAATTCTAGTGGCAAACTTGGTAACGTTGCTAAATAATGGTGTTTCCAAATATGGGGAATTGAGCCTTCCTTCGAACTAAAAACCCAAAAAGGTCTCTTTGTAGAGAAATGAAAAAGGAGGAGAAAAGGTTTGGTCAAGGCATGTCATTTTATTGCTCCAACAGACTAACATGGAGCTCTTCCATTTTTCTTAAAAACCTCCCTCTCAAGGCTTGACACTATGACAACATTTTACAAGGGAAAAAGCAAAAAGAAAGAAAAACTCTTATAAAAATCTTAATCCTTAGTTTAATCCCATCACTAATCCTCTCACCTCAAATGCTCATGCCATTTGTCCGTGCATGCATGAAGTAATTCATTTAAGTATTCAATTAATTTTTTTTTTAATGGAACGATGATAAAGAATTAGGTAAGTCGAACTACACAAAAGACTTGATTGTTGGATTATACTACTAGCCTTACTATCTAAACTTGCACAAGACGATTAATAGGCTAGATTAAGCAACAAAGTAGCATTTAGTAATTGATTAATGCTGACATTTGAGTAACAGAATATTAGGTTAGGTAGAGAGCCACTTGTAATTGTTTTGCTCATTTTTTTTTAATCATGGTGGATTCTTAACAAACCAACCAAGTCTTCTTGCATGTTAATAATTACAGCACCAAGTTACAAGTTATATGTGGTTTTACCATCTCCCATTTGGCTCAATTCATAAATTCATGTCCCCTTCCTTGAAGGAAAAAAAGTGGATTAAAATTGTAGGTTTACACCTTCATGTTTAAGGTGATTTTTAAAATGGATTGTTAGGCTTCAATTTTCTCATATTATTCATTCTTTAATATTTTTAAATTGCATCAATTAACATCTTTTGAATATTAGATATTTGAACGTTTAAATATCCGTTAAGTTGATGAGTTTTTTTAGTTAATATGGTGCAAATAAGCTTACATGTAATCGTAAATATGGATTTCATCCTCACTGTTTCATTAATTTAGTGAAAATTCAAATAATTCATTATAAAAAATAAATAAATTAATACAATTTCAAAATAAAAAGTGTGAAATTTTGTTTAAAAAAAAAAAAGAAAAACTAATGAAAAGAGTTTGAAAACTTTGAGTTTTAATGATAATGATAAAATAAAGGGTAAATTAAATAGTACCAGAATTAACCTTTTAGTATAAAAATATAATTTTTCATTAAAATGAACGGTATTGTAGACTTTTTGTTAAAATTCTAAAAAAAAATATGTGAAATGTATTTAGCCCAAAAAGTAAAGCTCATTGAATTTGAAAAGTGGCTTTTGGTACGATGGAAGTCATAGTCAATCTCCCACTATTCTAGTGCTCTTTTTATTATCAATCAAAAGTCATCCAAGTTGCATAGAATGAGGGGAAATTTGGCTTTACACGCAGGATGAAGAAGTCAGTACACCAAGTATAATAATAAAATTTTAAAAACTTCAAAAAAAAAAAAAAACAAAATTCCAATTAATTGTAATTTGATGTACTAGACTGTGTTCTTATACAGTAAAAAATTTCTCCTACACGCATGTAAGCAATGAATAACTGTTATTACTTAAACATGTACCTACGATCAAGCTTCACAATATACGGCCCGTCTATTTGTCTAGTGCGTCAATGGGAAGAAGGAAGAAAATGCTGAGCCAAAATTCTCATATATTAAAAGGAACTTTAATGAAAAGCTTTCGGTACTGTTCACATTAACGAAAATCACATTTTACATTAAAAAGGTAAGGGATGACATTCTGTGCAACTTGATACAAATATTTCCCATCCAATTGGGAGACACATGTAGCAATGCTAGTCTCCAGTTTCCCCTTCCATCTTAGGATAAATTCTACAAGTTACACGACATCTTATGTTGTCATTGGATTCTACATCCCCCTGAATCTTGTCCACGACGGACGTTGCCATAGGCTGACAGTTCGAGAAGATCCATGTCACGACCTGCATTTCAAAGCAATACACTGTCACTTGCTACTAAATTAGTTGAATTCATCCCTGGAAGAACTTCCACAAGATTTTGAGGTTTCTTGGGCTTACCTGAAACCCGACAGTAAGAACTCTTCTGGATGAGCTCGGCTCTAGAAAACTCAGTCCGATTTCCTTTTGATCGATTGACTGTTGCCTACAGTATGCAAGGGAAGATGCTTTTATTAAGAGTAAGATGTAACATATTAAATTCAAGGCAAACGTCGGTTTCAATCATGATCTGAAATTTGAATGCGACTGTAGAGTGCCAGACTTCATATGAAAGGAAAATGAGACTTTGTGGAGATCGCTCTAAGTTGTTAAGAATCCTAAGATAACTCTAGTAGTGTAGGTATTTTGGCAGCCTTTTGAAGGTCAGCAATATAGAGCAGGAATCTACTGTGTGCTAACATCTACTGGTGAAGGGTTTCTATGGAATGGAGATACCACCCAAAATCAAGATACAAAAATCGTGTAATAGTCCAAGGTTCCAAAGAGGAAGAAAGTCCATACCTGTAAGACCTGGCAATTTTCGAGCGTACTTTGTCCTCCCTGAAATGTGAAAATAAAAAAGATTAATCCTCTCTCCGAAAGTAATTTCAGGGATCAGGAGGCTGGGGAAAACAAAATAAAGAATTACAAGTTCAGCTATCAAGATTATCATATTAAATTGGGATGCCACAGCAGCCCATTTCTGAACTCCTTGTTTCCTCTAATATTCCTTTCCAACCAAAAGCAGCACAAAAGTCCACAGAACGAAACATCTTCGGTGTTGGTTTCCAGACTTTGTCACAAATTTGCGGCACCAAAACCAGTACATTTATGAGTTCACCATAACTTTTCAATCTGCACGAAAGAGATTGCAGAACAACCTTCATCTTGAAATGTGCTAAGTCGCTCCTTTTTCAAAACCAATGCCTCAGCCAATGCATATTCATCACTGGATTATCTTCTAGTGCACTGTCAATCGACTCAATCCTAATCATTTGGAGCCAAGTTGGTAAAAAATGCAGCAGTGAATCAAGCCTGCATTACAGTCAAGTGAAATGATCTAGAAAATGGGATTGCACCTCAAGATTCCTCAAAGGCCTAAACAAATCCTTCACCTATATTTGTATCACCATGATTAACCATGTTCTATCACAGGCTAGTATGAATGCACATAATTCCACAACACTAGTCATGCCACCCTGCCGCTCTCCACAATTACGGTCGCCATCTTATATGAAATTTGGGACCTCATAGTTATTCTGCTCAATCAACTGCCATAACAACTTACAAGACTCCAGTTTATCTTACATGCATTTTCCACCAAAGGTGAGAAAAGCTTTCTACCTAAGCTTGTACTAGTACCTATCACCTCCAGTATCGTACGTGCATATATTCAAGTAGCAGTTTCATATAACCATGTTCGCGTATATAATAAGCAACGGCAGACTACATAGCTACAAAATAGCTCAACTTTGACAGTAGCATTACTAAATGTATGAAATTCAATAGCACAAGCATTTCCAAATTGCATCTTCTTTCCATACAGAAAGCCAAAAATTCCACCCACAGAAATTATAAGATTCTACGGGAAAAGCCACCAAACAAAAAGCAAAGAAATTTGAATTTGTAAATATCAAATGCACCCCAAAAACAGAAACTCAATTTCCAAATCCAAAAGGAACCCACCTCACAAAACTCCAATCACAAAACAAACAAGCAATGCCCACTAACAAAACCACTCAAAAATCCATAAAAATGTGAAATTTGGAGAAAAAGAGAGGAATTTCACCTTGGAGTAAGGCACAATGTGATCATAATCATGACATAAGCAACCGGGGCAACCCACGAGCTTCCGAAAAATGGTGTTTCCGAGAGGGTCACGGCGCCACCGGTCCGGGTCTCGACCTTTGATCTTCTCCGCCTTGTCCCAGCACTGCTGCTTCACGCTGTACGGAAAGCTTCGTGGGTTGCTATTAAAAGAAGAAGAAGTCGCGAGCTCTTCTTCGAAGAGAGTAGTGGCAGTGACGTCGGTGACGACGAGGTCCCGATTGAGAAGAGCGGAGGCGCGAGGCTTCGGTGGTGAGCTGCTACGTCGTTCGAAACGGGCGGAGGGCGCGGCGGTTCGGTCCCTGAGTGGAGACGAAGGGCGGCTCCGCCTCTTTGGCTCTTTGCCCGGCCTCATCTTTTCTCAGATTATCACGAAACTGGAAAAATTGGAAAATTAAGCCATCCATAAATGTAAAAGACGATAATACCCCTTAATATTTTGTGAATTATTAGGATAGAAACGACGGTATCTATTAGTATTAATTACACCTATATTCCTTGAAACTCGATTTCTTCTTACTTTACTATGTGAAATTCAAAATGTCTCTCACTTTGCTATGATATGCAAAGAAGTTGAGAACGTTACTATCATGGGAAATGTGAGTGAAGATGATGATGATTTGTTCATTTTTATTTGTATTGTGTGTTTGTTTGTTTGCCACCATCTCACAATGGGTGAGGTGCCCTACTAACCCTAGTATAATAAGGCGTGTTTAAAGTGACTTCACAAGAGTGGTGAATAAATTTCAAATATCATTCTCACTTGATCAAAACTCAATCACTTATCAATCGCTTTAATGTCCTGTATAATTACAAGCCTACGCTATCAGGATCAGCAGGATTTGGTCATTTTTACTTGGGAAGGAAGTTAGTGATGAACAGATTCAACGTCCTTTGTTTTTTAGTTTTGTCCTACAAAATCCCTTTACTAATATGGGTAATGAGTTTGATGACATTGAAAAGGGCTTTTGCCCCATTTTTTACCGTCGAATTCTAAGAAGGTCTGATGATTTTTCGTCGGAGAAGATGGCGGGTCATATAAAATTCAAGACTGAAATTTCTACCTTGGATATATTTTGGCTTCTTAACATTGTGCTCACAAGTCTTCTCTCAGCAGGTCTTCTCTCAGTAGAAGAAGACTTGAGAGATTAATTTAACTTCTTTTTTCACACATGAAATTTCTCTGCAATTTGGCCTTTCCTGCATGGGATATGATGCATGCAAAGACCTGGAAATTTCCATGATGTAACGACCCTGATGCCTAATGGATTAACAAAGAAGAGACGAGTAGTAGTAAGTCAACAAAGTTTCTCTGCAATTTGGTTTGAAATTTCCATCACTTTCTCAAAATTTTTTAGAAAGTAAGCAACTCTTTAGGTCTATATATTAAAAACCTAACTCCGTTCTGCTTCCCACACTCAACTCTTAAGTCTCTCAACACTCCCAAGTCGTAATTAATTAAGTTAAGAGCGGTTCAATTAAGCAATCTCTCTACTCGTTTATTTCTACTCGCTAGTTTTCTTCCCACCCACGACATGGAGAAGGCGATGAACGAAGGCATCGGATGCAGCCTCGTTTCACTTGTTGCACTTCTCTTAGTCCTAAGGCTCATTGTACTGCACTTCCAATCGAATTTACGCTACTTGTTTTTATGCTTTCTTTGCGAAGTTATGCAGGTTAAGACCGTTTTCCAAAGAAGTTGCACTGATGAGAAAGTATGTGATCACAAACCATCCAAAGGAGTTGAAACCAACTCTACAACAAGTTCTGATCAAGTCCCCTTGATTCATGCCGCGGAGATTAGTTACACTCGCGAAAATGTTGTAGATGGCAAAAAGAATCTGTGTTTAGGAGAACTAGGACTAGTGATGGAGAAACTAGAAACATTGAGTGAGGGGGAGGGAGGCTCGAAGGAGATTGCTAACTTGTTTGAGGAGGTCCCGAGCTTGGAGGAAGTAAAAGAAGCTTTTCGTGTGTTTGATGAGAATGAGGATGGATTCATTGATGCCGGGGAGGTAAAGAAGGTTCTCTCTGTATTGGGTTTCGTTGAAGCTTCAGAAGTGGAATGCGAAGGGATGATCAAGTCGTTTGATGATAACGGAGATGGACGCATAGATTTCAACGAGTTTGTTAAGCTCATGGAGAACAGCTTCTGCTGAGTTACCAACATAAAATGCTCACAGATTTTGGGAAAATGAGTGGCTAAGGCCGCTCGCATCCTTTTCTTTCTTTCTTTCTTTCTTTGTGTTAGTTTGAGGTGCCTTGTCAAAGCTTTGAGTATGTCTTTATGCTCTTATAAACGATTTAATTGCTTTCATGCGTGTCATTGTTGGCCTAGTTTTAGGTGCCTTGTCAAAGCCTTGAGTATGCCTTTAGGCTCTTATAAACAATTTAATTGCTTTCATGCGTGTCATTGTTGGCCAAGATCAACATATTGATTGTTTCTGAAGTATTTGTCGAGCTTGTTTGCTTGCACCGCAACAAGTAAACTGGACTTCTTATCAAGGATTGTTTCATGGAGGGGTTAAATCCATGTCAAGTTCTTTTTCGTGCCTTGGTGACAAGGACTTCTATATCGATGCCAAGAGAAGACCACAAACTGATTAGAAGTGATCTAAGTCAGTTTGCAATCTTCGTTATGAATGTAAAAGCAGTAAGTGGAACAAAACAGAATATAAGTGAATGGATGAATGTAAAGAGCTGTAAAGACTTGCTGAACATTAATCAAAAGCATAGTAAACTGCATAGAAATATAACAACTTCAAAATAAACAATTAATACAAGTAATCAGACAAAGATTAAACCTATTCGGGCAAGTTTTACCCAGAGTCGGGCAAACTTGTCCACCGACAGGGCAAGTGCTAGTAAAGATAGAAAGTGTTTGTGGAATAGATTTTAATACAAGAGATTGACACTGCAAATAATGTAACAGAGCTATAAAGGTAAAAGAGTGCATGAAAGTACAAAAGGAATTTGTAAAAGTAGGCTTGCAAAGTTTTGAAGTCTTTTTGTATGTTGAGTTAAGTGTCCATTTTTTCTTCCTTTATGCTCCCTTTTATAGAACTGACTCTTCCTTCTGGAGTAAGCTTTTCTCTCTCAGTTTATTCCCTCTAATTTAAGTTACTGATGTGATTGCTGTCAGATGATGAGTTTTTCCTTGGTAACTTGAGCATTTACCCTCTCAAAACTACAAGTTTGCAACTCTTTTCAAAAACTGGGCTGGGCACTGTTCATTTTGCTGAGAACCCATTAAACTTTTACACTTAAATCCAGTGTTTCGGGATCAACTAGATTGCTGTTTCGCGTCCTAGTAAATATATGAAGACTGATAAAATTAGAGGTAGATAAAATTGAGCAGCAAACCAATTGCACTAGCACAAAAGTTTTATCTCCCAAAGTAATTAAAGTCTCAAAACATAAAACTTTCAATAGCTACTATAGTTAACAAAACCGACCTAAACTTACACAATCAAAGCTCAATAACCTGTAATGAAAATTAATGGTCAATAATTTTTCTTAACTTTTCGACGTGGGACAACACTCCACATACTCGTACTGTTGCACTAACTCTACAAAAAGTGATGGTCTTTGTGCTTAAATTGGTAGTGAGAGTAGGATTTGGATCCTCTCCGAAGCCCAAGGGGAGGATCTTCCTGACCAACACACGTGGGCTGTTGGATTTTCATCCAACGACTATTATTATTATAACTTTAAAGGGAACTCTTGTTTGTAACCGTTGGATAAAAATCTAACGGTTCACATATGTTGATCAGGAGGATTCTCACCTTGAGCTCAGGAGAGGATCCAAATCCGTGAGAGTAGAGTTGTTAGTAAGAGTAGGTATTGTGTTGGAGCGTAATGTACAACAACTCCGATGAAGTGAAAAAGTTTCCAACAAACAAATGGGCCACTATCCATTTTGTTGTTGAGGATTGACAATTGGGTCGACAGTCTTTGGCCCAAGTTTTCTTCATTCCCGCAATGAACCTCACTCTAACTTTCAGCACCATTACTGTATCTCTCTCTCTCTCTCTCTCTCGCAGGGGGCAGCTCGCCGGTGTCGTCGCCCCTGTTTTCGACCCGATAAAGGTAAGACCTTTGGCCTTTGATTTCCATATTGTTAATTGTATGTTATTTTTTTCCTTCCCATTTGACATAGTCCGATTGCGTTTTAATTGTCAGATTGTGTGGCTAAGAAGAAACACAGATTCATCTTTTTATTATCGTTTTTTTATAAAAAAGATTTCGGAATTTGTACTGTGAATGTGTGTGCGTGTGTGTATATATATTATATTTATATCTTGGTCAGAGGGGAAATAAGCAAAACCCAGTTGCATGCTGTTACCCAATTTGTATTTGCAATCAAAGATGGAAGCTTTTCTGATGAATTTTCACAGTTTAATTAGCTAAAAAAATGTTCAGTTTCATTTTCTGTGTGTGATTTTTGTTTCTGTGGATGTGTTTTGATGGATAGGATGGTTTCATTGACTATTCCTCAAGGAAGAAACTTTGGGCTTCCATTCATGAACCTTGTTAGGTTAAAGGGAATTCCCATTCTCCAACAGCTTCATTTAGAGGAGCAATTGCTTCGGACCTCGTCCGATAATTGGTGCATTATAAATGATGGAACTAATGATCCTGCTATTGTCATGGGTGTTTCGGGGTAAGATGAGCTTCAACACTTCTTGTGACCTTGTTTAAGTTTGTAGTTTCTTTCCTTGACTACCATTACCGAGCTAGTAGCAAACACGTAGATGATGTTGCCGTGATCTGTCCAAGATACGAGTGTCATGCTTGGTCAATCGTAGACTTATTTTCCAAATTACATGATTCTGGCTATGCTCATTCTCTTAGGTTTGTGATTTTGTTATTTATTTATCTACTTTTTGTATTGGAGATTGTAAAGGATCCGTGTGTGTTCTGCATAGAAAACCTGCAGAGCTTCTTGAAATTGATTTGGTGTTACGAGACCAGATTCCCGTCATTAGAAGGTTTACTGGAGGTGGTACTGTTACTGTTGATCAGAATACCCTATTTGTCACTTTCTTATGCAACAAGGATGCGGTTCCTGGCTTGCAACCATATCCTCGACCTATAATGTCGTGGAGTAGCCTAGTATACAGCAAAGTGTTTGAAGGACTTGCTGATTTTCAGCTTCGTGAAAACGGTACCTTAACTAACCTTTTCCAACATTATTGGTGCCTTAGGCTCACAAGATTATGTGTTTGTCGTGTTTATTACCTTGATTTGTTTTCTTTTTCTTACCTCTTTTGTTTCTTGCTATTTTGATTCGAATTTCTCTATGCAACTTGAGGTTCTTTATTTGATGTTTTCTGTGTGGTATCAAATGTTAGTTTTATGTTTGGACTGTGCCCTAATAACATAATTGGTCCTGTTGGATTGTAGATTATGTATTTGGTAGCTGCAAGTTTGGTGGGAATGCTCAATCTATTAGTAAAAACCGGTGGATCCACCACACTTCCTTTCTATGGGACTATGAGGTTAGGAACATGGCATACCTGAAGCATCCAAAACGGGTTCCTGAATATCGATTGGTATGTTATGTGTATCAATGTGTGTTTCAAATGTGCCTGAAACAAGAAACTCTGAATTTCACAGCTTAAATAGCCTATTAGTTTATTGCTTGTCATTGAGGCCTATATTTTGATGCTAATATGCTATCTATTTCCTTTGCAGGCAAGAGACCATTTAGAATTCATATGCCGCATGAAAGACTACATCCCAAGATCAGTTTTTCTTGAGAAAACAGTTGAGGCACTCGGAACCCAATTCTCCGTGAGACCCGAACAGTCGGACACCTTTGAAGCTACCTCGAATACAAAGTTTGTACCCTCAACTAGACTTTTGACAAGGCAGGAATTAGAGGAAGCTGCAGCTTTTGACTCTCAAGCTGAGAGAAATCTCACTCAATCATTGTCATTGTAATGAAACTGTGAATGCTAAGAAAGACTCTCAAAGGGGAACTCTCTGCCACATTATGTTTTTGACGCAATGTTTTATAATGTTGGCACGAGAATTAATGTTAAACTGTGAGATAACACATAGTCTATAAAGCTTCTCACAGAGTCTCGTTAACATTTCTTTTGATTATTCATTAAAAAATTTCAATAAATGTAACCCTTTTTTATTCAATCAAAACAAAAGCTATACACCTTTTTGCACAACGAGATATGTCAGTCCAGTTTCCAATGCAAGTAAGTTTTTAACTACATGACCATCGGAAAAGAACTTCAGTACACTAGATGCTATTTTCGTTATTACAAACTAATCACATATTACCACGTGGTATCTCAACATAATCACACATTTCAATATAAAATGCTAGTAATCCGTGATTGACTTGGAATAACGCGGTACATGCAAGTTTCTCAAGTCGACCCGCCTACCATGTTAACCGCAAAGAGAGCCATGTAGGCTTTCTTGGTGGAGAAGCTTTTCGCATTCCCAACCCAAGATTTTTGTTGTTTTTTCCTTCTTTCATTCTCGGTGCTACTGCAAACTCACAAAGCGCACCGTTCATTACACGTCTCTCTCTCTCTCTCTCTCTCTCTCTCTCAACACAACTCTGTCTCTCTCTGCCGCAGTAAATTTCTGGTGGTGGGTTCTGCATATTTTAACGACCGAAATCACAGCTTGACCCGTCGTCTGCAAATTCGTAAGCTTTCAATCTTAACACCCCATTTCTTTCTTTCCCTCCATGTTACTCTGCTGTTACTTTTTCTGGCTTCCCCTGTATTTGTTTTGAATTTCCCTTTTACCATATTCATAAAAATGTCACCTTTTCACATCGATTTTTAATATTTCTCATTTGGGTCCACGCTTTTGTGGATTTTTATTAAATTTTTTGTTGTTGATTTCGTGAATTATCAACTTTTGGGATTGCAGAACTTTGCTTGTATTTGTCATTAGGTGGTCGTTTTCTTTCTGGGATTTTAAGGTTTCACGAGATTGTCTGCTTTTGTGATAAGTAGGATCTGTTTTTCTGCACAAAACAATTAATTGTTCAGAATTGGGGTGGAATTTGTTTTTTCTTGTTTTTTTTGAATAAATGGTTATCAAGTTCTGGTTCCTGGGATGAAAGCTGCATTTGGAGAAGTGCATCTTTGTTGTGTAATTGAAGTGAGTCAATGTGCCTTTCAACAAGAAACAAGAGTATTGAGAAATTTTCGCAGTTGGCGCTTCGTAAGATTTTCGAGGGGTTTGCTTGTTGGATTGCAGGATGGGAAGGGTTAAGTTAAAGATAAAGAAACTAGAGAGCAGTGGGAACCGGCAGGTTACGTTTTCAAAACGGAGAAATGGGATCTTGAAGAAAGCTAAGGAGTTATCAATCTTATGTGATGTAGATATCGTCCTTCTCATGTTTTCCCCCACTGGAAGGCCTACATTATTCCAAGGGGAGCGCAGGTATTGTAAGCGGAAAGTTTACATTCGTTCTTTGATCACGATTTTGCAGACAACCTAGCAGTAAACTTTCTATATCATATGCTAATATAGCTCCCTTGCTTTCATGACAATTTTTCAGTAATATTGAAGAGATTATTTCAAAGTTCGCGCAATTAACTCCGCAGGAGAGGGCAAAGAGGTACTACATTACTTGCAACGAGATTCTGACTTTCTCATTTTCTAGCTGATTGAGTTTGGATGGCATTGCAGCTAACTATTTGTCCATTTGTCTCTAACAGGAAATTGGAGAGCCTTGAAGTAAGACTTTCACAAATAGCATTTCAAACGGGAACATTTGTTTCTCTTGCTTTTGTTGTATCAAACGAAAACTAATTTATGTCACTTCATCCATTCTATACTTGTATTTTGGTGGTATTTTTGTGGATATAGGTACTGAAGAAAACTTTTAAGAAGTTGGATCATGATGTTAACGTACAAGATTTCATGAGTTCAAGGTATGTGATTGTTTTTATTGAATTTGTCATTTCCCTTGAGTGAAACCTACGGGGATATCTAATCCAGCCCTTTTCTTAATGTTCTTTTTCCCTTCTGTTTCTTGCAGCTCTCAGACGGTTCAGGTATATATTCTTTACCACCAATACCAATTATAAATGCTATTCGATTTCTTAGTTTAATTACAACGACTGATGTTTTGTGATAATTTGCTATTGGCAGGATCTGACTCATCAAGTAATGGTATTGCAAGCCCAACTTACAGAACTCCATAGGAGACTGAGGTGCACCTTTGGAGCTTTTGGTTGTTAAAGTATTGCCTTGTCTTTTTGGTCAAATTACTAGCATATTACATTGTGTATTTTAGCAAATGTAAATTCGATATTAGGGCATTTCAAAGTATGAACTTGATATGATAAGGGAAACAAATAAGCAAAAGTGATTTAAGTTGCTTACGAGTGTAGTTTAGGGATTCACTGCCCAATTTGGGGATCAATTTGAGTCGTATTTGTGATTTTCATGTTATGGGTTGTGTTGCACATGCTGCATCCTAATAGCAACCAAGATGAAGTATTCGACGGGCTGGCTAGTACGAAGATAACTTGATGTGTTGGACCTTAGCCACCCTAAGAAAATTATATAAAAACTCTTTTTTCTTTAATTTTCTTGTGTGTTCTTGGTTATATTATTTTTCTCTTGACCTGTTTCCTATTAAAATTTTCATTGAATTTACAAATGAATATCGGATTCCAATATGTATTGATCAGTAAGGTATATGCATATAAAGAATCCATGTGATAATCAAGCTGTTGCCACTTTTTCAGCTTATGGAGTGACCCAGATAAGGTTGACAATCTTGAACAGCTTCGGCAGATGGAAGACATGCTTAAGGAATCAATCAACCGAACACGTCTGCATAAGGTATCATTTTGTTTTTCAAGTTACAGTAGTTGCGCAATAAATTCTAAGGCTTATGCTGTGAAAGAAGAAACGAGGGCTTTACGGTTTTGTATACCAAACAACTGAAAAGTAATGATGAAGTATGAACAGTGATATATGGTTTTGGTTGATTTTGGTGTCATGGTGAGTTTAAGGAGCCATGACTTACCTGATCCGCCTACGCTGCTACTTTGTCTACCTGCTTTGATAGTAACTTATGTGGGGTTGGCTATTGAATCGATGCTAATATTTGATAACTAAACTTGTTAGGAAAATTTGGGAAAACACCAACTAACATCACTAGATTGCACAAACCAGGTAATATATACTTTAGCTGATGAAGAATTAATTCTCTCTCTCTCTCTCACACGCATCTAATCTGAAGCTTGATTTTTGTGTATCAAAGTTTCAAAATGGAATGCCTCCGTCTTTCTTAGTTGGTGGTTCACAAGAAGCTCAACATATAACTTGGCTTTTCAATGGCGACAATCAGCACATGATATTACCGAATGAGCAGAACTATCTGCCACATAGGTTAGTCTACTGCTGTTTTGCATCTACCATTGGATATGCCAAAGAGCCTAATGCCTGAGAACTTTCTTTCTGATAAATTACTGATGCTATGATTATCTCTCTCTCTCTCTAGAGGTGTGGAGTGCTCAACAAATTCCACAGTTCCACATTATACTAGTTACTTTGGCACTGGGACTAGCACTAGCTCTAGCACCGGAAAACAATCTGAGGCTGGTGATCCATTACAGCTAGATACTATGGGACAAATTTCTAATATGGAAGGGGGCGGTGGCTTCAATGGGTTTGACATTAATGCTTGTTTAAGTACGGAATCTGGTGAGCATTATGCGTATCCAACATATTGTAGTTCTAATGTGCCAGACGATAAGAAAGTGAAGCCGGAGAATGAAATGAACATACCAGCAAATCCAGTGGATTATCAACTAAGTAGCAACTTTGAACTGCCAAGATCTTTGTATGAAAATGATCATCATGCTTGGCTTTCTTCGCCTGGCCCTAGCGGCATTGCTGTGTACAAGGAGAATACCTACCAGCCGGTGAGCATTCCTTCCATCGATGTTTTTCATTCTGTTTTGGCAAGCTTATGAAATAACAGATAAATTATTGGTCTTTGTATATTATCATTCCATGGATGCCTTGCGGCTCTTTGTTTTTGTATCTTGTAGCAACCAAACGTGAGATTGTAGCTGACAAAATCAGGGAAGGATTTATGGGCGCCACACACCGAGCAAATGATGTGAGTTGTGAAATGTTAACAGTTATCTAAGATATGTATTGATGCTAATAGGCTACTTGGGGGCATAGATTAAATCTGTATATATACCGTACAAGACATATAGGATCAGAGTTCATCTGTATACTAACATGGTTGGGTTCCTTAGAGCAACCACCACTTTTGTAAATTATTACTCATAGAAAATGAAAGCAAACATGATGGATTTCTTGAGCTATTTTTGTGATTTATATTATGTTAGCACACAATCGAGCAATTTCTAATCCAGCGAGTATTGGCAACGGAAAGGTTGTTCCTTTGTGATCAAAAGGTCACGGGTTCAAGTTGTGGAAACAGCCTATTTGCATAGTAAGAGTAAGGCTGCGTACGATAGATATTCCTTTCCCGACCTTCGTAAAGTGGGGAGCCTTGTTGGCTTGGGATCACTCTCTTAAACACAATTGAGCAATTTCTAATCCAGTCTAAATTACGAGGAAGGAGATTCAAACTTGGGTATAGATGGAGCACACGTTTAACGATAATGATAATATTCATTGCCACCATGGTTCCTGTACACTGGTAAAACCTTTTTGTCTACATTGATGCTCACCTTCCCAATCACTCAAAGACCATTAATATATTGTTACAAACTAAATAAAAACAGATCTTCCATCTTTTCTGCTTTTGCAATGGATCTAGAAGCCTCTTAGGGTTTGGACAATGGTGTTGTGCCATGGATCTGAGAGGTGCTGCAACAGGTTGTCGAACGGCCCCTTTCCGGTCACATTGTGTTGAACCACAAACCCGAGGAATGCCAACATTGCCAGTCTCCCTGCATAACACATTTCAAATAACATATTAGACCTTATTTCAAACATAAAAGCAAACGTGCGTTAGGCTAGTTGGTCGGGGCAGTGTGTACGCCCCTTGGATGTGAGATCAAATGCTTACCATTGGCAATTTCCTTCTCCTTGGCCTCGAGAGTGGGTTCGAAGTTGAGGGGGTTGAAGATGCCACCTGGGTAGCCCACCTCACCTGGGGGCAAGCTGTATTGCTTGAAGATGGGGTCTTGGTTCACACTTCCCGGGTTCTTGATGTCTTGCCACCGTCTGATCTCGACATAGTGGAACAAGATGAACTCGATCACGAAGAGGGTGGACGAAGAAGCGAAGTACTCGGCCTTTCCGGCATCATACCATTTGGGAACGTTAAGGATCCCAATGCTGGTGAACACTTCAGGCAATAGCATCCCAACAACGCCCAACATTGCCCATCTGCCATTGACAAGCTCAGCTTGGACATACCACCTTAAGTTCTCTGGGTCCTCAGCAAGTGCCAGAGGATCAAATCCATTGTCACCAGGAAGACTGCCCACAAAAACATATCTTAGTCAATCAATGTTTTTTCCCCAGTCGAAATATTTGTAGGACTTTTTTATCGGTCATTTAAAAAAGTCATCATGCACTCCTTTAAAAAAATTAAGTTGTTATTGGAGAAATGTACGATGGTTATTTTAGAGTGTGAATAATAGTTTTGTTAGTGTAAACGTGAAATTTTTAACATACCTGCCAGTGAGGTAGTCTGGTGAAGGCAAGCCAGGTAACCACTCACCCTTCTTAGCCTCAACTTTAAAAGAAGCAGCAGGAGGAGAAGCCATAGGCCTAAAAGCCACTTCCCTATTTAACTTACTAGAAGAACCCGAAAGGAACCTCGATTTCGAGTTGACGCATGGCCGGAAAACGGCGGCCGAGGCCTGAGTTGTGACTGTTGCCATTGTTTTCCCCACCTGAATTATGGTCAAGAAAATGGATTTTCAGGTAGGGATGGGGAGTTGGTGGTGTAGAGGAATAGAAGGGTATGGTTGTAAAGGAACATGGAATGGTGTGATGTGAGTCCATGGCTTCGTATATTTGATGCCAAATTGTCAATGGTGGTCTTGTGGAGGTTGTTCTTTGATGGAATTTGACCGTCGATTTGCAAGATTTTTAGGATCCAACGGTGTAGATGTGCTTGTGGTTTGAGATTGGCCAATGGGAAGTCCTTGGACCTTATCTTTTTATCTTTAGGGTTGTATCCACACAGAGGGAGGATCCTGTCGGATCTTCTTTGTGGGGATTCTAAAAATCCTTCAATCACATTCGTTCATTGTATATCGTGCGATCAATTTTTATGAAGTATTGTTTATATTTAATTTTAAATAAAAAAATTTACAATAATTTCTAACCGTACAATATATAATGAATAGATGTAATTTAAGAATTCTGGAAATTCTCATAAAAAGATCTGGCGAAGATCCTCACTCGTATCCACAAATCTATATCTTTGTTGCTGTTGGCTGAAATGAGACTGTGGGTTCCACTTTTGGGCCACGTATGAAGATTTTTTTTTATAACAGGATATCGATATGGGAGAATCCTTGGATATGATGATTGGATCTCCTTCCACGTGGAATCTGAGGGAGCCTATAGTTGCATGACAAGTGGCTGACTCAAACTACATCTTAGCTAGTGACTTGGTGTAGCTTCACCTCAATTGCACTGCATTGTCGACAATTTAAAACATGTGTTATGTGTTATTGATTCGGGATATATGATGATGTCCTAAATGCATAGGGTAAGTTTTGTTTTCATGTAAAATGTGATTCGTTTGGTTACAAATGCATATTTAATTGGATCGGTGTGGTATTACTTAATTACCTTTTGTTTAAGTACACAATTAAAACAGGTAAAATTTTTAATCAAAAATGAAATTTAGAGGACATTAACAGACAATGTCTTGTATGAAAACACGAATTTATGTTTGTGCGTATTCTCTTTTTAATTTGAATATGAAATTATTACTGAAGCTCAAAAGCTATAGACGGTAGCTTGATTTTAACTCTATATGACATTGAGTCGGAATTTGATAATCGATATAAGGGTGAAATTTTAGGGAACTATGTCATCATATAGCTCTTGGAGAGGATAACTTATTCATTAGTCTTCCACTTAAACCATGAGACAGGCAGCCAAGGATGATTACAATGGCTTATGGGGAAGTAAAGAAGCCTTAACATTTACATATACGTCTATACATCAATAAAACATTTCCAATTGACAAAATTTTAGGTACATTTTGAGAAGTCAACAAACAATAAAAAGGTGAAAACTAGACAAGACGACCTATCTCATTCAAGATTTGACCATAAGAAAAGAAAAAAAAAAAAACTTAGGATTAGCTCAAGTGGTGAGGGAGGGAGTTTGAACTCTTGCAATAGCAGTACCCTGCCTCAAGAGTCATGACTGCTATCAAAATTAACTGTTATCGATAATATAGATAGAACGAGATTTTGCTCGCCCTATTTATGCTCGTGCTCGTAGGTAGGGGCATATCTATGTGACTCGCTAGGCTTGCTTGTCCATTTCTTGCTGTAAAAGCAAACCCACCGTTGTAGTTAACTAGCTTTTAGCAATGAGAACATACAAGCATCTAATCTAGTACTGATCAAGTCACATTAAAGCATTTAGTACTCATTAACAGAAATATAAAATTGCAATGCCTACGTTAGAGGGAAGTCCAAAGCGCATGCGTTGTTCGCCTTATCTCTAGCAGACTCTGAGCACATACCCAGTAATAGTATATGTGATCAGGTTCGAAAACACACTACGACAGCCGTCGTAAGAGAAAAAAGGTTGTCTAAAATCAAAAGAGATAGTAGCCCACTTCAAAGTCCACGTTTAGGCTTGGGCTGTAGTCGAAGTCTGATGGTTAACAAAGAGAGGGGAGGGGTTACAGATTTTTAGCCCAAGATGTGTAATCACGACAAGTTTTATGAACAAAACCATTGCTCTGTTTAAACTTCTTTAATCACGACAAGTTTTAATTACACGTATTATCGTAACTTCGAATATCACCTTATTAAAACACGCAGAAATTGTTATAAAACAAAATTTTCACTCATAGATAGAATAGATGTAAAATTCAAGCAACTACTTTCATCCTCATGAAGAGAGGACAACTTTATTTTACTAAAATTTTACAAGATAAAGCGTATTACAACGAAATTGAACCGAACCAAACCAAACTACACGAATAACTAAGTAACCTGACAAAACCCGGCGGGTGGTTTTCTGCCCACCGCTGCCGAATTCTCTGCCTTCCTTTTCCAAAAGAGAGGAGAGACAATAACCCTCATAATTTAATTTGAAATGATAAAAGAGCCCTCTTAATATAAGCCCTTCTCAGGTTTGACTCTAAACACTAAGTTTCAATAACTGTGGCTACACCCTAAACAAACGTAATTATAATTTGTTTAAAGTTTATGGTGTTGTTTAGAACTGTAGGCCGCTGAATGTTTGGCCAAAGGTCCAGCCGGCAGGAACAACGTTGTTGGAGACGATCGTGCGGCCGTCGCTGGTTGTGACCTTGAATGAGAGGCTCTGGCCGTTGAGGAAAGAGTTGCTCTGCCAGTTTTGGCCCCAGTTCCTTGACATGGGTTGCCAGCCAGTTCTTGACCCTTTGATGGAAACTGCATGAACATCACCAGCACCTCCAACGTTTGTGATCAGCACTAAATTAAAGTATGAGTGACCGTTGATTGTGAATCTGATACCTCCTTTCTTTAAGCAAGGCACCCTGCAAATTTAGAACAACAATTCATCAGTCAAAGCAAGCGATAAAGTTTGTCAGGCCGTCAAATACTTTCAAGTAATTTACGTGTTATAATATAAACGGACAACATAATTAATATATTATGGTATAATACTAGCTATTAATAGATTGCTATAATCACGTGACGATACTACAGTCACATAACATAACGTTGAGAGAGGTAGTTTTGAAAATTTAAGAAATTGGAAAAGTTGACGTTTGGTAAATTGGTTGGATGGTAAATTGTCAAAAAAAAAAAAAAAAAAAAAAACATTTGTGTTATCTGTGAACACCCCTAAGAATTTAAAGGGTGTATGTGCAATTTTCCCTTCGAAATTTTTTATTAAATTTCAAACAGTCCCTACAAGAGTTGAGTCTCGAAACATAAAACAAGCCAAGCCTGAATTGCATACCTTCTGTAAGACACAGGCACAATTCCAGCTCGGTATTGAGCAATCTGCTGGAAGATGGGCTGGGCGAGATCGAAGTGGTGCTGCGGTGGGTTGCACCAACCGCCGGCATTGTTCGGAAGGGCATTGTTTGGAGGGCAGAAATTGGTCGCCGTGACCATAATAGAACCCGGAAGACACCATTTGGGGTCACTC